TTGGGCTGCCCTCTCTTGCTTTGGACTTGCCGCGCCCCTTGGGGCCTTTGCTGCTTGACCGGCCTCGCCCGTGCGAGCCTCCAGCTGATGCTGCGGCCGAACTGGAGCTTCCGCCTGCCATCGCCGCTACTGGGTAGAAGCCGTGCGCTAGCTTCAGGTCGTTGAACCACTTCCTGGCGCCCGCGTAGGCCGCGCAGACTTCGGCGTACACGCCTGGGTCGAGCTCTTGCGCTGCGTTGGGGTCGCGATGGTAGTAGCTCTCGTCGCAGTCGCACAAGGTCTCGTCATCCTCCGCCCACTACGTCCTCCGGCTTGCCAGCGTAGAACTCCTCGTCATAGTGCTCTGCTGTGTCCTCGTCGTTGAAATACAACTTCCGCGCGTAATTCGGCTCGTGCATGATGCTCTCCTGCCCGAACGGTGTCTCCGACGCATCAATGACCTTATCATGTCTGATATCCTTGCCAACTACTGGCAGGATGACCGCCTTCTGGCCCGCGCTGCACCCCCCTCGTCGTAGCGGACCTTCGCCGGTAACTCGACGTCGTGCGTCCTGAGCTTGCGTTCTGCAGCGCGCACTCTTGAGATGCAGGCGAATGTCTCGCGCTTGTGCCGCTTGAGCTTGAAGAAATACTCCAAGTCGTCCGCGAGCTCCGCCCTGTCGTCCATCTTGAAACGTCTCCGCAATATGGCCATGAGCTGCTTCGCCGCGTTGGGCGCGATGAGCTCGTTTGCTGAGAGATCCCCCACCTCGCCCCAAGCTTGGCCTGTGAGACCTGCGCTGAGCATGAGAGCTGCTTCGCCCCCCATTTTCTCTAACGGTAGCTTCGCAATGAAAATCCTCGCCCGCCTCTCGTATCCTTTCCAATTGCTGAGCGTGCCGTCGAACTGTGGAACTCCTCGCTCTGGTCGCATGTCCGCCATTGGCTTAGACATCCGGCCCTTGTCTATGACGCCGACTGTGGGGTCGTGCGCGTGGGCTGCCGAGAAACTGACGTGATAATCTCCTCTGAAATCTGCTGTGAACTCGCCGAGATCTGCTGGGACCTCGAAGCTGCGCGTGGAGTTGGCGGCTGGATCCGAGGAGAGGTCGCTTAGATATGGAATGGCGAAGCGTGTGCCTGGCTAACCAAGCTCCGCAACCAACATGGGAATAATAAGCCCGAATATCTGACATGTTTTCCGCGCCGCTGCTGCGCTGACTCAAGAGCCATGAACAATTAACCTGGCGAGGGGCCCAACCGATGCAGGTGTGAGCACCGCAATTGCGATTCACTTTTTCGGTGGTGATCCCTATGAGGCAACGAACCGCGCTAGGGGCGCGCCGAAATGAATGGCGCCGTGCACAACGCGAACGAAAACGATTGATCTGAACGCGCAGGGAGACTGAGCGCGGGCGAAGCTGAGCGCGAAGGCGTCTGACTGTGAATGCATCCGCGTGCGAGCGAATCAACGTGCATGAAGTCGAGCATGACAAAGCATGGTGTAATCTTATATGAATGTCAATAATTTGAGAATGACTGCCTCTGAATACTCGCGACCCTGGGCGTGGCCGCCGCAAGGAGCTCCCCCGGGCCCCCCCCGCGACATCGCCCGCGCGCCGCGACTCCAATGTCGGCGCGCCCCCCCCGCGAGGATCGCGCCCGCTTCCTCCCCTTCTTTTGCCCCCTCTTTGCCCGCGCACTCAAATGTCCAAGGCTGCGGGCGCAGCGCAGCGCGGAGTCCCCGCGACGCGCGCTGGTCACCCCAGAGGGGTCCCAGCGACGCGCGCGGGTCGCCCGCTGCGCGGAGCAAAGAGAGCTAGCTGGCTAGCCCCCGCGACGCGCGCTGGTCGCCCCGAAGGGGTCCCAGCGACGCGCGCGGGTCGCCCGCTGCGCGGAGCAAAGAGAGCTAGCTGGCTGGCTGATAGCGGGCAAAGCTCTCGCCGCTGGCAAGAGCGACGACGGGCGAGCGAGGCGCTGGGCAGAACGCGGCACGGAGCTCCTGCGACGCACGCCGGTCGCCCAGAGAGGGCCCCAGCGACGCGCGCGGGTCGTCCGCAGGGACCTTCGGCGGAGCTCCCTATGGGGCCACGAAGCGCTGCACTGGGTAGGGGAGACGCATGCGGACTGCGCCGCGGAGACCTTCAGTGGGGCTTCATATGGGGCCACGAAGCGCTGCACTGGGGGAGGGAGACGCATGCGGACTGCGCCGCGGGGACCTTCGGTGGAGCTCCCTATGGGGCCACGGAACGTGCGAGGGGTGCGCCGAAATGGGTGCGCGGGACGCATGCGGGCACGCCCGCTGGGGCCTTCGGTGGAGCTCCTTATGGGGCCGCGAAACGTGCGAAGGGTGTGCCGAAATGGGCGTGCGGGACGCACGCGGGCACGCCACCTGGGACCTTCGGTGGAGCTCCCTATGGGGCCACGAAACGCGCGAGGGGTGTGGCGAAATGAACGTGCGGGACGCATGCGGGCACACCCACTGGGACCTTCGGTGAAGCTCCCTATGGGGCCACGAAGCGCGCGAGGGGTGCGCCGAAATTGGCGTGCGGGGCGCATGCGGGCGCACCCGCTGGGGCCGTCGGCGGAGCTCCCTATGGGGCCACGAAACGCGCGAGGGGTGCGCCGAAATGGGCGCGCGGGACGCATGCGGGCACACCCGCTGGGACCTTTGGTGGGGCTCCCGATGGGGCCGCGAAACGTGCGAGGGGTGCGCCGTAATGGGTGTGCGGGGCGCATGCGGGCGCGCCCGCTGGGGCCTTTGGTGGAGCTCCCTATGGGGCCGCGAAACGCGCGAGGGGCGTGTCGAAATGGGCGTGCGGGGCGCAAGGGTGTGCCGAAATGGGCGTGCGGGACGCATGCGGGCACGCCCGCTGACCTTCGGTGGAGCTCCCTATGGGGCCAAGAAGCGTGCGAGGGGTGCGCCGACATGGGCGCGCGGGAACGAGAACATAATGAACTCCCCTTTCCCGCGGCGAGAAAGTGAACCTTTTCAAGTTCACCCTCCAGCGCAAGCGCAAGCGGGAACGAAAATCTTGCAACTTCCTTTTCCCGCGGATAGAGAGCGAACCTTTTTCAAATTCACCCTCCAGCCCAAGCACAAGCGGGACAGATAATCTTTTCAAGTTCACGTTCCCGCGGCTAGAGAGTGAACCTTTTCAAGTCCACCCTCCGGCCCAAGCTCCAGCGGGAAGAGAAGCGCACGCGGGCGCACCTACTGGGACCTTCGGTGGAGCCCCCATATGGGGCCACGAAGCGCGCGAGGGGTGTGCGACATGGGTAAGCGGGACGCCTGCGGGCGCAGCCACTGGGACCTTCGGCGAAATCCCCTATGGGGCCACGAAGCGTGCGAGGGGTGTGCCGAAATGGGTGTGCGGGACGCATGCGGGCGCACCCACTGGGACCTTCGGCGGAGCTCCCTACGGGGCCGCGAAACGTGCGAGGGGTGTGCCGAAATGAGCGTGCGGGACGCATGCGGGCACACCCACTGGGACCTTCGGTGGAGCTCCCTATGGGGCCACGAAGCGTGCGGGGGGCGTGCCGACATGAATGCGTGGGACGCATGCGGGCACACCCACTGGGATCTTCAGTGGGGCTCCCTATGGGGCCACGAAACGCGCGAGGGGTGTGCCGAAATGGGTGCGCGGGACGCATGCGGGCACACCCGCTGGGACCTTCGGTGCAGCTCCCTATGGGGGCCACGATGCGCGCGAGGGGTGTGCCGAAATGGGTGTGCGGGGCGCATGCGGGCGCGCCCGCTGGGACCTTCGGTGGAACTCCCTATGGGGCCGCGAAGCGTGCGAGGGGTGTGCCGAAATGGGTGATGACGACGACGATGATGATGACGATGATGATGATGGGAGGGGGGAGGGGGGGGGGGGGGAGGCAGCGGGAGGAGGTCGAGGAAGGGCGCGGGGACCGTCTCTTCAAAACGAGGACCCAATTAGCCTGGCGAAAGACCCAAGCGTGCGCAGTTGAGAGCGCCGCAATTGTTAATCTCGTCTTCGGTGGAGCCCCCTATGAGGCCAAGAACAGCGAGAGGGGTGCGCCGACACATGGCGGGCAACGCAACGCAGAAGAAGACGATAGGTCTGATGACGAGAGCCTGAGAGCGGGTGAGTCTGAGCACGAGTGGGTCTGATTGTGCATGAATCTGCGCGCGGGGGAGTCTACGTGGATGAATGTCAACGCCAGCATCGGCAGCCCACCTCGCGCGGGTCGCCCCCGCTTCTTCCCGCTCTTTTTTCCCCCTCTTTGCCCGCGCGCCCCAGTGCCCAAGGCTGCGGGCGCAGCGCAGCGCGGAGCCCCCGCGACGCGCGCTGGTCGCCCCGAAGGGGTCCCAGCGACGCACGCGGGTCGTCCGCTGCGCGGAACAACGTGAGCTACCTGGCTGGCTGGGGGCGGGCGAGGTTCTGGGCGCCGGGCAGAGCGACGACGGGCGAACGAGGCGCTGGGCAGCGCGCAGCGCGGAGTCCGCGCGAAGCGCGCCGGTCGCCCCGAGAGGGCTCCAGCGACGCGCACGGGTCGTCCACGGCGCCCGGCCGAACTGCGGGACAGCCTGGATATGGCGCGGCTCGGGCGGGCCGCTCCCCAGGTCACGCCTCGCGGATAAACTCGGTGAAGCCCAGCTCCCTGGCGAGGGTCGTTGCCCCCCTCCTGCGCCGCTTCGCGCGCGCAGCAAACTGCTCCCACTGCTTCCGCAAACCGGCCGGCGGCCCCGCCAGGGAGAACTCGATGCGCGGCGCCCGCATGAGCAGGAGGTCCTCGTGGCGCGTGGCGCGCGAGAGCAGCGCGTAGAGCTCCAGCCACCAGTCGTCGTCCTTCTTGCCGTTCCCGATATCGTGGCGGCCGCAGTCCAGGATCACGCCTGGGCGACGTCGGCCGAGGGGGCAGCGCGTGGGGCAGCCAACGGCCCAAGGCGAGAATCCACATAACCAAAAAAAGGCATGGCTGCGGATCGCTCGTGCCCAGAAGGTCTGGCCGTGGACTGCCGGGGGGGCGGTGTTCCCCCGCCCCGTCGCCTTCTCGCACCGTGCGCCCCTGGCACGCCACCGTGGCGATGACCCTGCCGTGCGAGAACAGGAAGCCCGTCCGGGTGACCTTGGAACGTGAACGGCTCCGACGCGCGGAGCTCGATGAACACCAGCGGGCCCGTCAGGTCCCCTGTGAGGGTGTCATCGTGGCGCTTCAGGTCGCCCACGAAGGGCGCGCTCGCGTACTTCTGCATGCACACCCAGAACCCCAGCGGCAAGGGCTTCAGATAGATCATGTTCTCCCCGTCTCTCTCGGCCCTCTCGACGTCGCCACGATCCCGAGGGTCCACGACGACGTGCACGATCGTCCCCGAAGGGACTCACGGCAACGAGCGGGGGTCGTCCGACGGCAGGGCAACCCTGCCCCGGGCGTGAACCAAAGCAGTTGCAGGGGCACCTGCACATCCCTCTCTGTCTCTTTGTCGCTGTCGCAACTTCTCCCTTCCCGCTTCCCCAACAGCCTCTCCAAGAGGCTGGGACCCCGACGGAAAGAAGGTCCGATCATCATCATCGTCATCGTCCTCCTCGTTTTCCTCCTCCTCCGCCTCCTCCTCCTCCTCCTCCTCGTCCCCGCCTCCCCCTCCTCCTCCTCCTCGTTTTCCTCCCGTTGGGGATGGGGGCGAGACTAGAGATAGGAGCTCTAATACGTTCCCGGGACCCCTCCCGGGGTCCAAACGCCCCCGACTCTTCCGACGCGGAGCTGCGTCGAGCCCGGCTCGGGGATGCCGGCGGCACACCTGATCGGTCAAAGCTCCTCCTATGCGCGGCTGTTCGTGTCGTGACGACCCTGCTGCTGGTTCCTGACACTGCGGGGAACGTTCAATCTCGAACGATCTCCGCTCCTGGAGGCCCCTGGATGCTCTCGACCCCATCTTCGTTATTGATTTCGCGCCGTGGGTGGGAGGGTTGGGAGGGGCACCCATTGGCAGCACGCCCTATCCTCGCCAAGCTGTCTCGCCTGCTCGGCGCTCTGCAAGTCGCCCTCTCCTCGATCGAGGCCTCGATGTTTGAGCCCCGATGCCATGAACACAACGCGGCCTCTGGAGGCCGCTTCTGGGCGCTGGGGCCCTAAACAAAACTACCCGGGACTGACCACAAGGATGGGGTCGAGAGGTCCAGGGGCTTCGCGACGCGACCAAAAATCGGAATCTGGAGCCCTAAACAAAACTACCCGGGACTGGCCACCAGGATGGAGTCGAGAGGTCCGGGGGCGTCGCGACACGAAACAAATCGGAAGTCTGAGGTCTCACCCTCCTGGCCAAAATGTCTCCCCGTGCTCTTCTGCTCCACTCTGATATCCGTCCTCCCCTACCCGTCATCCTCCACCTTCCCGTCCTCCTCATCCTCCTCCTCCTCCTCGTCGTCGTCAGCAGCGTCAGGGTCGTCATCATCCTCAGCAGCAGCATCGCCATCATCATGAGCATCGTCGTCATCAACGCCATCTTCTGGACGATGATGATGATCATCGTCATCGTCATCGTCATCGTCATCGTCATCATCATCATCATCATCATCATCATCATCATCATCATCATCATCATCATCATCATCATCATCATCATCATCATCATCATCATCATCATCATCATCATCATCATCATCATCATCATCATCATCATCATCATCATCATCATCATCATCATCATCATCATCGTCGGCATCATCATCATCACTATCATCATCGTTATCGTTAGCACTGTCATCTTCGTCATCGTCACCATCGTCAGCATCAGCATCATCGTGACCATCGTCGTCAACAGCATCATCACCAGCATCATCATCTGCATCATCATCAGCCGCATCACCATCATGATCATCCGCATCATCATGATCATCATCATCATCATCATCATCATCATCAGCATCATCATCAGCATCATCCTCGTCAGCATCACCATCTTCGCCATCATCATCACCATCATCATCATCGTCGTCATCATCATCAACAACATCAGCATCGACATCATCGTCTTCGTACCAGTCGAAGGGGGCTACCTCCTCTTCCTCCTCATCTTCCTCCCACTCCCTCTTCTCCTCCTCCTCCCTCTCCGACCTCCTCCTCCTCCTCCGTTCCTCCGCAGCCCACTCCGTTCGTCCTCCTCAGAACTCCGACGGCCTCCGACGCAGGTGTCCGCAAGTCTCCAGACGCATCCCCGAAGCCCCCCGAGGCCACCAGTGGGCCTGGAACGCCCTCGACAACTCTCGGGCAATAGCGCCAGTAACTCGGGCACCCGGGCTGGTTGCGGCGATCGCCCCTGAAACGCTGTCGGCGAGGCGCAGCTGCTGGGTTACACATCGCAGCCTTCAAAAACGAACGCATGGAACTAACCCCACCTTCGGAACGCCGCCACTGAGGCCTTCGGTGGAGCCCACGAAACGTATCAGGGAGTGCCGACATGGGGGTGGCGGCTCCCTATGGGGCCACGAAACACTGTCCTGGGCGGGAGAGACGCATGCGGACTGCGCCACTGGGGCCTTCGGTGGAGCTCCGTGTGGGGCCACGAAACGCTGTCCTTGGCGGGGGAGGCGCATGCGAACTGCGCCAACGTGGGCCTTCGGTTGGGCTCCCCATGGGGCCACGAAGCGCTGTTTTGGGCGGGGGGGACGCATGCGAACTGCGCCACTGGGGCCTTCGGTGGAGCTCCCTGTGGGGCCACGAAACGCTGTCCTGGGCGGGGGAAACGCATCCGAACTGCGCCCATGGGCCTTCGGTGGGGACCCCCTTATGGGGCCACGAAAAGCTGTCCTGGGCGGGGGAGACGCATGCGAACTGCGCCACTGGGACTTCGGTGGCGTTCCTTATGGGCCCACGAAGTGCTGTCCTGGATGGGGGGAGCGCATGCGAACTGTGCCACTGGGACCTTAGTTGGAGCTTCCTATGGGGCCACGGAACGCTGTCCTGGGCGGGGGAGACGCATGCGAACTGCGTTACTGGGACCCTCGGTGGGGCTCCCTATGGGGCCACGAAACACTGTCCTGGGCGGAGGAGACGCATGCGAACTGCGCCACTGGGACCTTAGGTGGCGTTCCCTATGGGGCCACGAAACGCTGTACTGGGTGGGGGAGACGCATGCGAACTGCGCCAGAGGGACCTTCGGTGGAGCTCCCTATGGGGCCACGAAACGTGGAAGGGGTGTGCCGAAACTGATGGCGATGATTGTGACGATGACGGAAATGATGATTACGACGATGGTGACTGCGACGCTGACGATGATGACGACGATGATGATGCTGATGGTGATGGCGATGATGATGTTGTTGATGATGCTGATGGTGATGATGATGATGGAAAATGGGAGGAGGGGGAGGAGGAAGGAGAGGAACGCGGGGCACCGTCTCGGCCTGGAACGAGGACCCAACACCACAGGATGGTTGCGTGACGATGACGAGGAGGAGGAAGGAGGGGAGGAGGGGAGGAGGAGGAGAGGACGCGGGGCGCTGTCTCTTCAAAACAAGGACCCAACACCACAGGATGGTTGGGAACAACACAGGTTGGTTGGGAAAAAAAGGTGTGGGCCAAAAACATTTGTACGCTCGCTATACTACCGCTGTGCTATGCACAATCTGCACAATACGCATGATGTACAGCGTACATCCCACACCTCCTCCTCTTCCTCCTTTTCCTCCTCATCCTCCCCCTTCTCCTCCTCATCGTCCTCGTCATCATCCTCCTCTTCCTCGTCCTCCTCCTCCACCACCTCCTCCTATTCTTCTTTACCCCCTGTCGTGCGGTGTGGCGCTACAGCGGACGTGCGCATCTCAGCGCGCACCGGAAAATGGTCGATTGAATCGGTCCACTTGGTTCTCGGGCGGCCAATGTAGCTGAGGCCTCCTGGACGCACATGGGAAGCGTGAAGGTGATGCGGGCGGACTCGGGAAGACTCGTAGATTCCACCGGCGCTCCGTTGTCCATGGGAATTAATTTCTAATGCTTTCTGAGGAATCCAGAAGCGCTCCATTTTGTCATAAAGATTCGCTCGAACATTCTATATACAACACTGGCGCTGCGTTGCACGCGGTTGCTGCGGTGCACGCAGGCGCCGTGGTGCACACACGCGTTGTAGTGCACGCAGGCATTGTGGTGTACACTGGTGCTGTGTTGCGCGCGCTTGACGTGGTGCACGCAAGCGCTATGGTGTGCACAAGAACTGTTGTGCCCGAGTGCACGATGGCACAAACTGGCGCTGTGTTGCACGCGTTTGATGTGGTGTACGTAGGCGGCTACGTGTACACAGGCGTTGTGGTGCAACTCGCCACCAACATGCTGGCGCTACCCATCCTCCGCCATTCCTACGCATTCCCAGAAGCCGCCGGCGCGAAACGTGACGTCATCGACCCCCTCCACCCCCCGTCATCGGCCCGGAATAAAAAACAGGCTTCAGCCGCGTCCGCGCGCACGACGAGTATGAGCGACGAGCGACAAGCCACGAGGGACGACGACGACGACGACTGCGGACCAGACTCCTATGCGGATTCCCATGCGGACACCTATGCGGATCCCAATGCGCACGGCGGCAGTGCCCGGAGCGCACTGGGGGGGAACATTACGTCATAAGGGGGGGCCGGGGGCCATGACGCCCGCCATGCTCAAGCCATAAAGAAACGGGCTCTAATGAGCCCGATTGAGGGGCCACTAAGCCGGATCAACCCAAACTAAAACACCACATTACGCCCTACTTAGCCGGAAAAGGCTGGCTTGCGCGCGATCTTGCGCAGACAGCTTACGCGCGACTGTGCGCGCAGTCGACCCAGCTGTCTTCCGTCGCTGGATTGGCCATGAGGGAACGGGGTCCTGGTGGTAGGTTCAACCTGACTCTGTTCGTTGACTGCCCCAGGGCCCTGAAGAGCTCCGACAACAAAGTTCCAACAGAACACACATGCACAGACAACCAAAACAAATCGTAAACAAATACTGTCGTGGGTCCGCGAGGATGTGGTCGGTGTGCGATGGACGGCCCTTTCCTGAGGAGCAGTGCGCCATGGGCTGCGACGGATGCGCCGCCAAGAGTTCCAGCGCAAACCCAAGGAACACCAGAAGTTTATGCCGAGCCGTTTCTGCCAGAAGCCTCTGAGAGATTCGAAAAAGTGTCTGAGACGTTCTTCGCTCCTCCATCCAGGCCCCGGGCTCTCCCTAGTACCAGCTCTTCATCTTGAGCCGCCTTCTGGTTGATGGCCCCAGGGGACCTGGAAATTCTCTGGGAGCCTGCAGGCCGGCGACAAACCTTAGGTATCCCCTAGAGCGCGTTTCTTAATTTCGGTGATGGCGGGCGTCAATGGGGGGGCGGGGCGAGGGGGGGGGATTATGACGTAAGGCCCCACCCCGCCGTGTGGCTTCGGCAAGAGCCGCGCCCGCGCGCACGACGACGACGATGAGCGACGAACGACTTGCGACAAGGGACGAGCGACGAGCGACGACGACGACGACAACGACGACGACGGTG